TGGTGGTGGTGGTGGTGGTGGTGGTGGTGGTGGTGGTGGTGGTGGTGGTGGTCGCTGGAAGACAATCTAGAAGGGGCTGGGTGGGTCTGGCAGGCCTCCGGCCTGCTTCACGGGTGGGTTGGAAAGACAAATTAGAAGGGATTGGGGTGGGCCCGGGTTCGGTTGAACCTGCTGTTCAGGACCTATCTGCTGGCACTGATGTTCCCGAGGCGAATGCTGGCAGAGAGGAGCCAAAAGGCTTTTTAAAGGGTTTAGGGGCAATTTTGGACACTTTACGTTCACTTTTGGGTTTTAGGTGCAAAAGCCACGGGCGCAATTCAGCGCCAAACGGGCGCAAATCGGCGCCAAAAACCGCAAACGGGCGCAAACCAGAAAAACGTAACGAACGCTGTATGCAATTGTGTGGTATTGTTGTGGTGAAGCAGCCTGGTCGAGCACTTTGGGAGTTGTATGCTCTGTTCGTCATCAGATCAAGGCTTCTTGTTCAGTCCTTTAGCTTCGTTGCTGCTAGCTGGTAGCACCATGGATGCTGCGAGCTTGGATGCACAGATTGAAGCACTTAGGCTGCACTTGCTGGGTACTCGTGAGCTGTAGTTGCTAGGTCGCTTTGGGCCCGGTCGGGAAGTGATGATCTTTATGTATATAGTAGAAGCCAGAAAGTTGGAATATCATTATCGTAACCCCTTTAAGGTAAATTATTAGGTATGCTACCCTGAAACCATATTCCAACTTTCTGGCTTCTACTGTATACATATATATATATATATACATATATGAATCGATAGATCTATATATGTATATAGATGGATCGATTTAATGTATGGTGTATCGAACTATATAGTATATATATATATATGTATCGTTCGGATCAATATGTGTGTATGTGGTCTAGCTTGTATTCTATATCTATCTATCTATCTATATATATATATATATAGATATATAAATTTATATATATATATATAGCATATATATATATATGCTATATAATTACACGAATGTATATCGGTAAATGTGCAGATATTGTTTGCCATGTGCACTATAGTACCTGAACTAGCTGTCTTCCTCTGCATGCTTCGTACGATATCCGAATTTCACGGAATGCTAAGATCTAGTTAGATCGATGTACTAGTTTAATTCGAAGCCCTACACCCTAAACTTGCTGGCTTAAGCCCTCGACCCTCACCCTACAGCCCATAAGCCCCTAGCCCGGAACCCTAAGCTCAGGCAACCCGCCGTCGGATTGCAGCTCTGCAATCCCGCATTGGCGGGCGATCGGCTTCGGTGCCTCCCCGTCCGGAGTCAGGTGCTTCTGGGCTTTTGATTGAACGGTTCGTTGATTCTGTGATCCCCGGAGAGTTTCTGTCGGTTGGTCGAAGCCAGGTGCCGAGGAGACTATTGTTGGCGGTGGATGCAAGCCGGGTGAGAAGCCGAAGCCATCCCAGAGATCAAGGTCTATCCCACCGGTGCCAAGCAAGTGGAAACCAGAAGTTCCCTCTGTGCCTGCCTCGAAACCACCAGCACCGGTGACTTTGCCAAAAGCAGCAGCAGTTTCCGAAGTTCCCACAGGACCCGCAGCAACAGCAGTTTCCGAAGTTCCCACAGAACCCCAAGCAGCAGCAGTTTCCAAAGTTCCCGCAGAACCCCGAGCAACAGCAGTTTCCAAAGTTCCCGCAGCAACCGTGAGTCCGTCGAAAGCACCAGCAGTTTCCAAAGTTGCAGCAGCCGTGAAAGGACCCCCGTCGAAGGCACCAGCAGTTTCCGAAGTCCCCGCAGGACCCTCTTCTGCCGTCCCACTGGCTAAGGCTTCGAGCTTTGACAGTTGCTGGAGGTACTGCGAAAATTTGGCGAGCCCGGCAGGTCCGCCTCCGAAGGCAGCAGCTGCCGTTTGCAAAACACCTCCCAAGAAGAGGGCTTCTTCTGAGCCGGGGAGTTCTTCCCCGACGGGGGACACTTCAGGAAAGCCTTCCGACAGCTCCCCCAGCTCACTCAAGGTGAAGCCCCGAGCTTTGTTTACGACGAGCCCAAAGGGTCTGAAAAGAGGCCGTGAAAAGTTCGACAAGACCTACTACAGGACCCTGGGTGTTGATATGCTATGGACCATAATTCTACGACTCCTACTATGCAAGCTGTAGCTGCATGAAGCCTGCTATGGAGTGCTCTAGCACCCACTTGTGCCCCAGTATGCAGCATAGTAGAAATTACTTAAAGGCTCATGGGACTTAGTAAGTAAGGTTATAACTAGGTTATAATTAGGATAACCCCACTTAGGGGACTTATAACCCCAGTTATAACCTACTTACTAAGTCCCATGATCCTTTAAGTAACCTAGCTAGGATACCTACCTGAATCAATAATTATAACCCCTTAACCCTTAAACCCCCAAACCCCTAAACCCTAGGCCCCGCATTCAGCACTGGCTCCCCCATAACCGCCATCCCAGGATGCGACGAGTCTTCAAGCCCAGAACCGGACCGTGCAAGGCTTCCAAGGAAGCCCTGTCGTTGTATGAGACTGAGGAGGGGAGTTTCTCGGCTACGGTTTTGAGTGTTGGCTCCACGGCTATGCAATGTATATATCTATATATATATATATGTACATATGTGTTATACACATTAATATGTGTTAGCTAAGGGAAGAAGCTGAGAGAGCTCTTTGACAAGAACAAGAGCTGGAAGGAGATCGATATGATTGTCCAGAAGTACGTCAAGCATCTAGAAGCCACCGAGAAGAATGCTCAGTGGGTTACGAAGCAGTATCTGATGGAGAAATGCAGCTACACCAAGAACCTCAACCGCACTAGACTGGTAGACCCATGTCTATTGTACTTCGATCCATATCGTGCAGTGTTTGCTAGCATCTAGCAGAATCTAGCACTTAATGGAAATCCTATCATAATCGTTCGTACAAAGCTCTGCAGTCTAGCTGAGGCAAATGGCAGACAACAGTTTCGCCTGGGCGGCAACGAAGGGACTGTTGCGAACGAACGAGGTTCACAAAACGGAGGAGGCGAAGCTAGTTGTAGAAGAGAAGTTCAGCAACAAAAGCGAGCGAGGTTCGCTAAAGGAGCTCACGGCTTCCGGCACTGTGGAGGACCTTCTGCACTACCTGTTATTCCTTAACTGGGTCTTGGAACACCTCCCTATCATCCCTAGCCCGACACCCGAAACCTACACGGACCCCCAAGACCGACGCCACAAACCTTGAACCCCTAAACCCTGAACCCTCCAGGCTAAGCTAAAACAAAAAATAATATGTATAAACCCTGACCCCAAAACCCTGAACCCTAAGCTGAACCCTGAACCCTACAGCCCAAACCTAAGCCTCATAAGCAGTTGTAACCGGGAACCCTGCCAAACAGAAGATCCGGATGCCCTCCAGGATGAAGATGCCTACATGTTGGAGAATGATGTCCCCACCACGGAAACCGAAGCTATCAGCCACAAGCCTGCCGATGGTACCATGAGCAAATCCAAGTCCTTCGGGCAGCAAGTAGATCTAACTGTGTTGCGAACGAGAACCGTGCTTGCAAGCCGTGAGCTCTTCTCTGCTTTAGGTGTGTTTTCCCAACGGTGCAGAAGAACGACAGCCCTCTCACTGTCCTCCCCACGTTCCTCTCTGTGTTGGGGAAAAAAATCGAGAATGGGTGCTTGGAGCAGGACAGACTGCTACAGTCTACGTGAGAACGACTTCTTGTGTTGCATGTATAAATGCATGAGTTCGAGTATTTTGATGCTAGGAGAAGATGAAGAAGATGGGCAACCCCCGGGCCGATGAGCCCCTGTGCTCAACTTTGGTGTCTAAGCTAGCTTATTCGGGATCCATGTAAGACATGTATAGCTTAGCGCCAAGGATTGCAAACCACCTGCAGTCCCTCCTGGACAGCCTGAACACCGACTACAAGAAGTTGACCGACAAGGAGGCCGAGGCTATCACAGACACGGACGGGACGACTCTTGCCTGCACGATGATGTATATAAGTACATAGTACCCGAAAACGATCCCCAAATCCCGTGGCCCAGGAAATCAGTCAAGCTGAAGGAGGAGATCATGGCTTTGTTCGTTCAGTGCACGAAGACCGATGTAATCCTGAACAATTACATCGCCCGGGGCAAGACTCTTGGCCATTAAATTATAAGCCATAAACTTAAACCCTAAGCTACCTGGTAACCCTAATCCCTGCTTAGCCTAGGAGCTTCAAGCCCAGCAGCAGCAACCTGGGAAGATCCGGCTCGAAAGATGAGAAGAACAAAAAATCTAAGAAAAAGCCCAAGAAGGACAACAAATCGGCTTCCAAGAAGGACAAAGCTTCACCAAAACACGGCGACGAAACGGAGGAGGCTAAGCCTGCTTCTCGAAAGTCGAAGAAGAGTAAGGATGACTCGGCAGAGAAGCCGAACAAGAAAAAGAAGTGATCTTGAGTACGGAGCATTTGCCCCGCTGATCTTGAAATGTGTGCAGTGCAATCGTTTGGTGAATTGCACCGGTTGTAGCCGTGCAGAGGAAGGATGAAATGGGTAGTCGCAGCCCTTTAAACCCTAATAAAACTTATGACCCTCGGCCCTGAACCCACACTGGTAACCGATACTGTTGCTAAATGCACCGATCTCTCTGGCATGGCAAAGTTCCCGCAAATCTACGCTTTGGGCCGGTAAGAATGCCTGCCCTATCTCGATCTGATCTATAGATCTCATGAGACTCGCTGCTCGCCAAAATGAGCTCTGCACAGGAGCATGCTTGAATGGTGCTGAGTGGCAGTACAAAATATTAAACCCTAAACCCCTGAACCCTAAACCCTAGCTTTAAGATGGAGACGAACCAATGGCCCCACGCAGGCGGCCTGGGGTTGCAAAGTGGCGAAGACTCGCCGTCTGGAGGTCCACGCCTCGGGCTCAATTTGAGTCGATTAATTGCCCCGGGTGTGTTCCCTAAGGATCGGCTTCGGGCTCTGAGGATGACCTGGCAGATGCCTTGATGATGGATATGGAGCGGGGGGTCTCTTGGTTTCGCAATCCCTACATTATCTTACATAAGTCCTAGGTTCGCTTTGGCAACCAAACGAGGCTGATGCAAAGTCTGTGGTTCGGCTGGCTACTATTGCATCGAGGAGGATGAAAAAGCTAGGCGGGGCACCATTCGATTCTAAGCCTTAGGAATAAGCCTGGAATGGAAACCACCCATAGGAACAAACCCGAATTCGAAAAACCCAATGGAACCCACAGCCCAACCCAGACCTATCAATCCTCGCACTGTTATATAGCAGTGGACTACTAACTAGTTGCGAGAAACCCATGAAGCCCAAACTCGAAACCCCCTCATCCCTAAGACTTTAGCCATCACACCGCTGCAGGTGTCGTCGACCCGGACATGGAGCGAATTGCTGGTTTGGGGCATGGCAGCTACCACAATGCTTCTCGGGCTTTGCATAGGTTTGTTCATCGTGAGGGGAAGACCCTGCCGATCCCGATCTCCACGACACCCTTGACTATTCGCCAGAAACGGGGTGGAAGTATTGATGTGAAATACCCCATTCTACGGCTGACGGATTGGCTGAACCATATTCTGGGTGAGGCTGGTGGCCAGTTCGTGTTGGCTGGACATCATGTATGGGACACTGGCCATCAAGATGTCTTCAGGAGGTTTTGGCAAAGGTACGAGTCGGCGGATTCACAACACGTGATTTACAGCCAAAAAAGCGAGCAAGAGCGATCCCGCACGATTCCATTTTGCATACACGGTGACGAGGGTCGGGGTTTGGCCAAAGTCCCGGTTCTCATTACGAACTTTCAGTGTGTGGTGCCTTATATGGGCGAGGATCGCCTGAACACTCACGGGCCTCCTGCATGATTTCGTACCTCTACTTTTTTTTTTTATCGATCGATATTTCAATAGCATCATGATCACAACATGATCACCATCCTCCCTCTAGACTCTAGAGCATCCAAGGGAGAGCCTGTGCACGAGACTTTTGCATTCGATACTTCCAGCATCCTCCTACGCCAAGAACGACAAGTCGATCGACGGACTCCATGCTGCGATCAGCGAGGAGCTCACAGAGCTTTTCGAAACGGGTGTGAGGGTGCAGGTGGCGAGGCATTTATCAATTACGTAAGGTTTGGCACTCTGCTATTTCCCAAGTTGCCCTGTAATTGGTATGTATCAACCATGTACACCCAATTCCAAATTCCAATCCTCCCTATACTCGAAATACGATGAGTCCGAATCCTCAATTCTTCCCGTCGCTTCTGAGGTCAAGGGCAAGGAGGAAGTTTTCTTCGTCGCCTTGGTGGCGGCGAAAGGTGACTGGCCGTATGTTCGAAAGGCCTATCATCTTAATTGTGGCTACAATTGCACAAGGAAGTGTCATCTGTGTCCCGGAGATGAAGCCTAGGTGTAGATATAGCAATATGTTTCGGGTTGGCTTAGTTTCGGGGTCTATGTTAACTGAAAGGTTACATAGGGTTGCGATATTCTGTGGCAAATAAGGATTGGTGGAACTGTGGCCCTGATGGACAGCTTAGATCATTCACTGGGCGGAACCCGAGTCCATTCAAGCGAAACAAGATATCACCTTTACGGTCGATTCCCTCGGGAGGCGATCCAAAGCGAGTACAACCTGATCTCATGCATTGCATGAATTTAGGTTTCGGCAAGGATCTTTGTGGGAGCAGCATTTTGCTGCTCTGCAGATACAACTGCTTCGGAGACCATGCTTCGATCGGAAAGAAGCTGGAAGTTGCATTTGATGAGTTTCGCTTGTGGTGTGACAGACACCACAAAACTACAAGCCTGAAATCCTTCACGCTGAAAACTTTCAAGATTAAATCGCAACTTGGCTAGTTGTGCTGAATCTCTAACCCCCAAACCTCGCATCTCTTGTGAACCCTCGGCTTAGACAGGTCTATAAATGAAGCTCCCCACCTACACTAAACCCCCAAACCCTAAGCTAACCGAAACTGTAAACACACTTTGGGTCATCTTAGGCAGAGGCAGTACCCGACTGGATGTGGCAAGGCATACGACGTCGCCTTGCTGAGCAAATGGCTCGAAGCGAAACTGCTTGTGATCAAAGGCGAGCAGGGTGATGCTCGTTGGGTGCAATATTCATTAAAGCTGTCTCGCTGCAACTATATATTAATTCTAAACCACGCCAAACATTCCAAGTAGTTGCATTGCACCCAGGACATGAACGAAGGCCTGAACCTCCTGTTGTGGCTTTTCTCTAATGCTAACGAATGCATGAGTCTGCTCTACGGTCACGGGGTTTGGCTGCCGATTCATATTGCCTCCCGAGCAGTGGAGTGCGGCTGGAACTTTGTGGATGCACGGCTACATATATCTGTCTTGGTTTGTATACTACCTAGCACCGAGAACTTAATTATGCACGAGTACTGAGGAAGGCTATCTTGGAATGGCCCGCTGGTGTGCCGAGCAATCTTGGCCACTGTACCGAGTGAGACCCAAAGTGCATTTTTTCGGACACATTGTGCTCCTTGGCTAAACTCCTGAAACCCGGGCCTAAACCCCGCATCCCGAACTTCGTGTATGGAACAGCATGGTTTTGGTGACCGAGGAAAAGCATGGAGAATCAGGTTGATCGTGCCCGAGCGAATGCAGCTTCGCCCCAGTACTGCCTCAATGCTGTATGCTTCCCGGCTTAGCTTCACAGACCCTTGCATAACAGTACTGCCTATGCTGCTATGCTTGCTGATCCCTCCGAGGCTTTGCCTGCTGGTCAGACGAAGATATGATCGGAAAAGTCGCCAGGGTCAGTCGGCGGGTGGGGAGCTCACGGCTGGTTGCTTTGAGGACGATGACACGGCTTCTCATGGGCTACAGACGTTTGTTCGAGAAGCACTTCGATCTGCCCAGCTGAGTTCCGGGCGAGAAAGATTCGAAGGGTCGTTCGCAGTGAGGTCGTTGACATGCAGGTGTTGGTTGTATGTCTGTGCATTCGTGCAATTTCATCCCCAGAGCCAAATCATATAATCCCAAAACCTGAAGTATATAAACCTCCAGAGCTTAATTGCACCACTCAAGCCATAAGCCCAAAGCCTTAACCCGACAAGCCCCAAAGCTGAAGGATCCCTGCCTTAGACCCGTCTGGGTGGGAGGCTTGGGAATAAAGGCCCGGTGGGTTAGCATATCATGCATTAAAATAGAGTGGTGTAGAATAGTCTCGAGCGCTTTTGCCTCTAATCGTGCGCTTTTTGCTAATTGCTACGCTTTTGCCTTATCACGAGCGAAAAAAACACGTAGCACAAATACCTGCTACAAAGGAGGTCGCAGGAAGGAAAATTTTAGCAAGCCCCATTCATCATTAAAGGAAACAGAGACACCTAATACTTCAAGGGTTTGCGAGTACTGATAGTTTAATCGGGCAGCCAGAGCAGGAGCCTCAACATGACCCTCTGGCGCCACGATCGCACACTTTGGCAAGGATATTTCTAGACCGCAAGTGGCATCGAATCGGTTGGAGCGCTGAATCGCATGCTCAAGGTCGCTGAGATCCGCAGAAAAAGTCCAAAAGGAACGGTCGTCCAAATAGACCAAGCCTGAAACCCCTTGCCTCAACACAGCCAAGGTCCAAAGGTGGCTGAATGCGGCAGCTAGGGTGGGACTTAAGGGACAACCCTGAGCTATACCCAAGCGGGGCTTAAACCAGGCATCGCTGTATGCGCCATCAAATTGGACGATGCGCGAAGCTCGCGTGTAAAAGGCCTTCAGCAGCGGCCAAAGAAAAGGCGGCGCTTTCAGATGAGAAAGAAGGACCTCAAGGGCTTCAAACTGGATAGCATCAAAGAACCCCGCAATGTCCTGTTGAACCGCAACGCTGGCGCCACCGCGCATTGCAGCATTCAGCTGAAGCAGGGCACCCGACACCGACGTGCCCGGGATGCCGCCGGCATCCGACGGGGACCTCCACGAACCTATCCAGTCGGAGAGTTGGGCATTCAAAATCCTTGCTCCCGCAAGCCAGACAGCTTGAGAAATGGTTAACGGCCTGAAGCCTCCTTTGAGTTTCTTAATCATCACCACGCGCGCTTGCGCCCACTGGGCTGGGACATCACAACAAGCGAGGCACCGATTCCACAGCTGGGAGGTCCACACCCACCAAAGATCAGGCGTGGAACATAGCAGTCCAGGTTTCCACGCATCCGGCCCGGCAGCACGGTGCCGCATGGACTGCATTGACCGTCGAAGAGCCTCAGGCGTGATGTTAGGCACAACCTCCAAGCCAGCAGGGCGCGGCAAGGGCCGCAACAGATCACGCATGGCTTGCATGTCAACCGCCCGAAAGAACGCGGGACAGAGCTTCGCACGCAGATCCTTCGCCACAGCTGCGACCGCTACCGCCGGATGTGCAGGGTCGCCCGGACTGGCAACATCCGGAAGCTGACGCTCCCAAGCAAGTTGCTCGTCAGCGCGCCGCTTGACAAAAGACCGGGCACGAGGCAGGTCAGCACGCGTCCTGGTGCGCCACATTTGCTTTCTAGCATCCTCCTCCTGCTGCGTGAAAGTCTCGATGAGCTGTTCAACATGTGGAAGAAGAGAGAGCTCATCTCCATCACGGGCATAAGGCAGGCTTGGCACCTTCAAGCGCGTGGACCGGAGTGAGCGCCTGATTCGCGCCACCAGCGAAGCATCGTTCGTCCGGTGGGAAAGAACCTGAAGCCTCGCACGGAGTCGCAGCAAGAGGCGCAGGCTTTCCGACTTCACAGGCTGCTTGCCCGACCGTCCCGCAGCACTGGAGGTAACAGGCTCCCACGAAGACGCACGAGGGACGCACTCTGCAGAGCACGGCTCACACAGAAGGGCCTCGGCAGTGTCCGACAAGAAGCGCCAAGCACCGTCCAAATCATTATGTTCCAAAGCAAGCGCAAACGGTCCTGCATCGATTTGAGCACATCTGGTACACTAGCTAGCGTATCCTCCCGCCACCTCCCACTACACCTCCGGGAGTACGTAGCAAGCCTAGCTAAAGCTAACCGGCTTCACGCAGTAGCACGGACAACACGAACTTCTCTCTTTTTAGCGTTGTGGCGAAGTCCCGCGTTAGCCCGGAGAAGAACTCTAGCCTTTGGCTAGCTAATCCCCAGGGTGGGTTGGGTGGGCACTCGAAATTTGCCCCCCAATAGCTGGGGGCCTTTCAGCACAATGGCCACGGAGTAGCACTGCTTCACCGGCCATGTGCAGTCACTCTAGCAAACAGACAAGCTTCGTTCTGTTTAGCTTCAGAGGAAAACCCCTTCGAAGTTTTCTAGCGAAACACCTTCGATGTTTCCCAAAGGGATACTAGCGCTAGCATACACTGTCGTACCTCGTCCCTCGGCACGAGTGCGTACACTAGCTAGCGGATCCTCCCGCCACCTCCCTCTACACCTCCGGGGAGTACGTAGCAAGCCTAGCTTAAGCTAGCTGGCTTCACGCAGTAGCACGGACAACACGAACTTCTCTCTTTTTAGCGTTGTGGCGAAGTCCCGCGTTAGCCCGGAGAATAACTCTAGCCTTTGGCTAGCTAATCTCCTTGCGCAGCCGTAGGGCTACCAGGGACCTAGCTTACGGGCCTTCTTAGCGAACCTCGGAGCCTTCGGCTCTCTGGTCCTTTTCCTCACTCCTAGCTCCTGGAAGTAGCTAGCCGAGTGTTCGAGGAGACGGCCCAGCACGCGCCACTCTAGCTTTTCCCCCTCCAGGCTCACCCTGAAGTCCGGGGAAAAACTAGCAAAGTTCTCGTTCGTGAGGTCGTCCGCTAGCTGGTTCAGATCCCTGCGGATCCACTGTAGCTGAAGCTCACAGTTCTTAGCGGAGAGTTCTTCCGCTAGCTCCATCAACACCAAGGTCGACGG